CCGATCCCATTTATAATGATCACGAGTTAAAACCGTGATGGGCAAATTTTGTTACTATCTGCAATGAGATAGAGGACATAAGTCAATTGCAACGAGAAATGCCAAAAAAAAATGCCTATACTGATGCCGCAGCTTCTGAGTCCTCTTCAAATTAGGGATTCTTGGTGCTTTCTGAGCTTGGCTGTTTTTTTTCAGACATTTCATTGCCCAAACTAGGTAACATAATCAGTTACCTAGTAAGGAGTGGGGTTTGTGAATTAAAGTAGAGCATCAAGAACCTCTCATTTCAACCCTGAGCTACAGTTGTTCTCTTTTATCAGCTCTTCAAATTATACAAATGTTGTGTCAAACTGAATAGGAAAAATGGTTTCCCCCTCCGTGGCATCTATCAACTGAAGATGGACCCGCTGACTGCCCCTCCCCCTCCTCCCAGAGAATTCATGTTCCCAAAGACGTCCCCAGATAGTTCAGGCATTCAGAGACTGAAGCTCTGAACTCTGTCAAACAACAGCCCTGTTCTTTTCCTGTCTAACCAGAGGAAACTCACGTCTGCCCAGAATGGTCACACAAAACCTACATTGTCCTGATGCACATTTTCTTGAGATGCTTCTGAAGTCAGAGCCTGTGGAATGAGTGGGTGAATGTGACAAATATGACTCTTGGGAAGGGGGGAAAAAGAGATGTGCGAGAGCCTGAAGTTGGCACAGGGATGGTGTAATGGTATGTGAGAATGACCTTGGGAAACAAGGGGAGGGGATGCTGCCTAGGGATCTATTAAACAAGAGAGGCAGTAGCTCCCAGTGGCTAAAAGGCCAGAGGGAAAAACTGAGGAAGGATCTTCCCTAAAGGATCAAGCAGTTAAAAGTGCCGGTGGGAGTTTGTACCTTGTTGTGGTCCACCAGCAGCCTGCGGAGCTGGCAGCAGAGTCTGTTCTGCCCCAGCTCCGGATTTCTGAGGATATTGACACACACCAACAGTCCTTATCAAATTTATTAAGTAGCAAGAATAAACAAGACCGGCAAAGGTTGGCAACCAGCCCAGAAAACAAGATATGATAAACCAAAATATTCTGATAGTAAATACGAGTTGTTTCCAGCAAGAAAGCACTAGCTGCGTGCAACTTAAATAGGCTAAGGGAATGACCAATTATCCTCAAGCCCTACTCTCGAATAGACCTCCTCCTCCTGAGAAGCCACTCCTGCCTTTGGGCAGCCGTTCGTGCTCGAGCATTGAGGAGAGGCTCCTCCACTTCGCTCTCTCCACTTGAAGGAACATCTGGAGGTTCTGAAGGCCCTGGCTGAGTCTCTGCCTCTGCCTCTGGCACCACATCTTCTTCAGCCTCCTGGCTGTCCGATGCGAGTGCTGGCTGTGCAGCTGCTGGCGCAACACCACACCAGCCTCCTCTTCGTCAGGATCAGCCACGATCCGCGCAGGCCGCTGGCGGGCCACAACAGAGTCAGACAGGGGACTGGGGAGGCTGGGGAGAAACATGGGCCAGTCCTGGAGTCTGGGGAAGGCCCGGACGAGGGCTCTGCATCAGAGGCAGAGATGGGGCCAGAGCCATCTGGGAGTGATGCACGGACTCCGGAGCCCCCAGAGTCAGACATCAGAGAGGCAGAAGAACAGGAGAAGCCTGTTCCTAGTGCACGCATGTGAAGAGCTGCCAAAAGGGAAGAGCAGCTAAAGGAAAAGGGATGACTTGGGAGTAAGGCCAGGAGATGATTGGCCCCTCCCATAAGGTTTAAAGGAGGAGCAAAGGCACTTGGGCCTTTTGTAGGAAAGCAACGTTGCTAACTCTGTTTCCAGTCAGCATTTTTTGCTTGTTTCTGAACTCTGTGGGGCTTTGCCAAGTAAGGCCTTTGGCAAGGTGTCAAAGAAGATAAAGGTTGGTGATTATCCCAAAGGACTTCTTCCGAAGGATTTATTTTGCAACTAATTGGGACTCAGCTGGGAATGAACGTAATTTTCAGCTGTTAAAATAAAATAGGGGTTTTTTGGAACTAATTGTGTCTTGTGATGACTCAGTAAGCCTAGGTCACAACATACCTTCAGACATGCAAGGTTCTGTTAATGCAGCCTTACAATAAAGTAGGATTAGCTCATCTAGTCATGTTTCCTGTTTGGTTTACCCAGGAGAGCTGACATCAATCTTGCAAGTCTAAAAGTACAGACCTCCCACTGCCACTTTTAACCTTCTGATCCATCAGGACAGGCCCTTCCAAGAGTGTCTTCTGCTGACTGTTAAGCCACTGGAGGTTCCTCCCCCTTTTTGTCTGATTGTTTTGTCTGATTGTGGATAAGACTAAAAAGTAAGCATAGTAGGGAGCCGGTTTGGTATAGTGGTGAAGTCACCAGCCTAGAAATCAGGAGACTGGGAGTTCTAGTCTTGATTTAGGCAAGAAGCCAAATGGGTGACTTTGGGCCAGTCCCTCTCTCTCAGCCCCGGGAAGAAGAAAACAAGGGTAATCCACTTTCCAAAATCTTGCCAAGAAAACTGCAGGGACTGGTCTAGCAGTCACCAGGAGTCAACACTGACTCAAAGGAATTAAAACAACAACAACAACAAAACAAGGAATAAAAGTACATAAACATAAAATTAATACAACAATAATATAAATAACAGTGACAATCACTAAGATTAGGTCTTATCATCAGTCATAGATGGGACAAATACTATAGAATGAATGAATAGAAGCACAACATTGGACAACGGAAGGATACATCAGAAGGAAAAGAAATAAAGGGAGACTAGTATAGATCTATTTCAAACTATTTAGCTCTCATCAGCTAGCCATAACCTTACTTGGATTTGAACTTGAGCTGCCTGCATGTTAGGCAGTTGTATTAACCTCTGAGCCACAAGTTCTCCCTTCATTATCTTGAGCCAGGGGAGAGATTAGGTGTTTTTCTATCGAGATACCTGGTCCCTCCCACATGCTGGGGTAGACCAGGTGTCTCGATAGAAAAACACTATGTATGTATGTATGTATGTATGTATGTATGTATGTATGTATGTATTCCACCCTGGCAACTTTAAGGTGCATGACAACTCCCAGAATTTCCAGCCAACATGCATCTGAAAGTTGCCAAGGTTCAGAATTCCTGATATGCAGTAGACAGCCCCTCTTACTAACGTCTTTAGCCATCTATGAAATTGTTCTTATCTGCTTTTTTCTCCATTGATTTTTTTATCTTTTGTTCATGCTTGACCATTCATTGCCTTTTATCTAAACTGTAGGTCATTGCACAATTCTTTGCTCCCAATTAACTTCTATAGAACTTCCATTTTCCCTTTCATGTTTGGTTTGGTTCCACTTTCGCTTTGGAACTTTTTCTTGTTCCTTTAAGCTGGGCCTATCTCTTTGATAAGTTGTCTTATCTTATTAAGTTTATGTCTGATTAGTTTTTTGAATTGTTTCTGTTGCACTAAAATAGAAACGTCCCAATGCTGAATGAGCTTTCACTGACATAGAGTATAAAGGTGCTTTTTCAACTGAATGTTGCCTTTTGAAAAAGCACATTTGGGACAAACATAACCAGAATGACTGAGAATCTCCACAGACAAGGCAGAGTATAGATAATCCTCAATTTACAACCATTGTAGAAAAAGGGAGGAAGCCACACTTGGAATATTGAGTCCAGTTCTGATCACCATGATACAGAAAAAATGCTGAGACCCTAGAAAGAGTGGAGAAAAGAGCAACAAGGGTCTGGAGGCTAATTTGTACAATGAACGGTTAAGGGAACGAAGTATGTCTAGTCTAACAAAGAGAAGGATTAGAATGTACACAATAGCTGTCTTCTAGTATTTGAGAGGCTGTCACAGAGAAGACAGGAGGTCAACCTATTCTCCAAAGCACTTGAGAACAGGACAAGAAGAAATGGGTGGAAGATCATTAAAGAGAGATCCTAACTGGAATTATGGAGAAATTTCCTGACAGTGAGAGCAATTAATAAATGGACAGGTTGCTCTCCAAAGTTGTGGGTGCTCCTTCACTCCATCCTCCATTTGTCCAGGATAGTACATGGTCTCCTGTCTTGAGGCAGGGGCTTGGACTAGAAGACTTCCAAGATCCCTTCCAGTCCTATGATTCTGGGATTCATTGCAATGATTATGGCCATTATCTTGACTTCTTTGATCCCCTGTGGACACCCCCAAGGAATTCAGCTCAAATCGACATTGCAATATTCAGTCCCATCTTGAGGAAGACTGAATCAGGCATTGATATAATCAGCCCAAGCTCTCTATTTATAGATTGTAAATTGTAATTTGCTTTGCCTGTACATACCATGCTCATTATTTTATGATTTGTTATGTGGTGGTCTCTTCATTAGAATGAATAAATGGGGACTTTAAAAATATTGCCAGTATTTTGGAATGTGGTAAATGGATCCTGTGCAGAGGTGGGTTTCAGCAGGTTCTGACCAGTTCTGGAGAACCGGTAGGGGAAATTTTGAGTAGTTTGGAGAACCGGTAGTAAAAATTCTGACTGGCCCCGTCCCCATCTATTCTCTGCCTCCCAAATCCCAGCTGATCAGGAGGAAATGGGGATTTTGCAGTAACCTTCCCCTGGATTGGGGAGGGGATGGAGATTTTACAGTATTCTTCCCCTGCCACGCCCACCAAGCCACACCCACAGAACCGGTAGTAAAAATTTTTGAAACCCACCACTGATCCTGTGCTGTAAACCACACTGATTGATGCAGAGAAGACATATTAGTTGGAAAGCATAGCTATGTTGTATCTGTAAATCAGTAGAATTTTAGCAAGCCTGGTGATTTTTGCAGATTGCTTTCTTCTCAATTTCACTCTGTCTATTTTTAATACAGAGATGTTTTCTGTAGGAATTCCCGGAAGACGTTTGTTCCAGCATTTCCTATATTTGCCAGCAAAATCGAAGTAAAAATGCATTACATGTCCATTCTTCATTTTAATGATGTTTATGCCTTTATTATTTTTTTATAATTTCACTAGTATTTTATCCTGCCTTTTCTTACAGGAATGTAAAGAAGAGAGACATGTCCACTCCACCCTTGTTCTACTGGACAACGTAACCCTGGCAGGTAGGTGGGTCCTTTTTCTTAGCTAATACAATCCTGGGTTGTATCAACAGAGGCATAGAATCAAGAACACGTGAAGTATTAGTACGACTTTATAAAACCCTATTAAGACCACACCTAGAATACAGCAACCAGTTTTGGTCACCATTTTACAAAAAAAGATGTTGAGACTTTGGAAAAAGTTCAGAGAAGAGCAACTAAAATGATCAAAGGCCTGGAGATTAAAACATATTATTTATTTATTTATTTATTTATTTATTTATTTATTTATTTATTTATTTATTATTTATTATTTATTTATTTATTTATTTATTTATTTATTTATTTATTTATTTATTTATTTAAATTTGTATCCCGCCCTTCTCCTAGTGGACTCAGGGCGGTGCACAGCCAGAACTAAAACACATAATACAAAATTTAAAATTTTAAAAAGAATTATATGACTTTGGCCCAAAAATTTAAAACATTCAAACTAAAACCTATTGACAATTTAAAAGGCTAAAAAAAGGGGGGGTTAATTTAATTTAATTTAATTAATTCAATTTATATGCCGCCCCTCTCCGAAGACTCAGGGCGGCTACAGGATTTGGGTTTGGCTAGTCTAAGGAAAAGAAAAGAAAAGGGGTGACATGATAGCAGTATTCCAGGGGCTACCACAAAGAAGAGCGGGCGGGGTTCAAATTATTCTACAAAGCACCAGAGGGCAGGACAAGAAACAATGGTTGGAAACTGATCAAAGAGAGAAGCAACCTGGAATTAAGGAGAAACTTCCTAACTGCAAGGAAAATTAACCAGTGGAACAGCTCGCCTTCAGAAATTATGAGCGCTCCATCACTGGAGGTTTTTAAGAAGAGACTAGACAGTCACTTATTTCAAATAGTATAGGTTCTCCTGCTTGAGCAGGGGGCTGGACTGGAAGACCTCCAAGGTCCCTTCCAGCTCTATTTTATTCTAAGTGAGACAAAGTGATGAACCCAAAGACACACAGTGAGTTCCATAGACTAGTAGGGCTGAGAAGCAGGTTCCTCTGGTCCAAATACAGGTAGATCTTGACTTAGCAACCACTCAAAGTTCTGATGGACCCAAAAAAGCTACTTATGACCAGTATTTTAAATTCTAGCAGCTGTCCCCCCCCCCGGGTCATGAGCCGAGGTGGCGCAGTGGTTAGAGTGCAGTACTGCAGCTACTTCAGCTGACTGCTAGTCCAGCAGATCAGCAGATCAAATCTCACCGGCTCAAGGTTGTCTCAGCCTTCCATCCTTCCTAGGTGGGTAAAATGAGGACCCAGATTGTTGGGGGCAATATGCTAATTAGCATACTATCTTTGGTGTAAGCCGCCCAGAGTCCTCGGAGAGTGGGCGGCATAGAAATACGAATAATAAATAAATAATAAATAAATAATAAATGATAGCATTTTGGGTACTTGGCAATTAGCCGGCATTTACAGCTATTTGTAGCATCCTACACTCATGTCACCACAAATTTTTTTGCTGGAAACCAGCATTTACTTCTGGTTTCCAGGGAGAAATGAGGGTTGTAGAGAGTAGGTTTGCTTAATGACCTTGGCATTTGCTTAATGATTGTTCCAAAAAGGTTACAAAATCAGGTGCAGTCATGTGATGACTTGCTTCAGTGGTGAAATCTGAACTGGTTTACTACCAGCTCTCTGGCCACGCATGTGTGCAGTGTGCCAAATGCGCGCTCCGTGCACACATGCCCAGTGCATGCCAAACATGAACTGCGCATGTGTGCACATAGTGCACGCCAAAAGGAAGCTTGGGAAGGTAAGTAGAACAGCGCGAGGAGGTGATCAGCTGCGGCGCACGATCATGGGAACCTTTTAAAAAACTTTTTAAAAACATTTTTTACTACCGACTCCGGCAAATAGGCAGTAAAAAAATGCTTTTAAAAAGTAAAAAAGAGGTTCCGATGATTGCACAGCACAGCTGGGGTTTTTTTACTTTTGAAAGCATTTTTTTTACTACCTCTTCGCCCAAACCAGTAGTAAAAAAATACTTTTAAAAGTTTAAAAAAAGGCTCTGACGATCACAGCTGTGCCGCACAATCATCGGAACCTTTTTTTAACCTTTTAAAAGCATTTTTTTTACTACCAGTTCAGGCAAATAGGTAGTAAAAAAATGCTTTAAATTTTTTTTTAAAAAAAAAGCTCCGATGATCGTGCAGCACAGCTGTGATCGTTGGAGCCTTGTTTTTTTACTTTTTTAAAGCATTTTTTTACTATCTATTCGCCCAAGCCAGTAGTAAAAAAATGCCTAAAAAGTTTTTTTAAAAAAAGTTCTGACGATCAGCTGAGCAACACACTTTTTTACTTTTCTAGCATTTTTTTACTTTATGCTTTAAAAAGTAAAAGAAAAGAAAAAGTTCCGACGATCGCGCATTGCTCAGCTGATCATCGGAACTTTTTAAATATATTTTTTACTACCGGTTCGGTGAACCGGTAGCATTTTTTACTACCGGTTTGGGCAAACCGGCCCAAACTGTAGCATTTCACCCCTGACTTAACAACAGGCATGATTTACATGAATCATAACTATAATTTCAGGCTCAATTATGGTTGTAAGACAAGCAGTACCAGTACCATGCCTGAGACTCATATGGTTCATGGTTTATTTTGGTCCATTAGTTGTTTCTTTGTTTTTTGCAGGTCTAGAGTCAACAGCAGTGTCAACACTGAGCTTCCTGGAAATATTTTCTCTGATAAAACATTCCAAGGGGTGTGTAGAGCTCACTCTGGCCTTGTTTGCAGAATGAAGCCTGCAATAAAACTCTTGGCTGGACCAATATAGAAACCCCTGGGAGTGAATAATTTGAGTCCTCCTGTCAGAAAACTCACAAAAGAGAGGGAGGGGCAGAGCAGAAAAGGTAGGCAGAAGGGCCAATCAAGGGCATGGTTGGTGGTGAAAGGGGTGGAACACTTATCAAAAAGTGTTTTTTTTTCTTTCTTTTCTTTCTTTCTTTTTTTTGGAGGGAATACTGTATAGAATAGAAGCAGTCTTTGAAAACCTGGGTATGGGAGATAATAAAATAAAATAAAATAAAATAAAATAAAATAAAATAAAATAAAATAAAATAAAATAAAATAATAAAATAAAATAAAATAAAATAAAATAAAATAAAATAAAATAAATAATAAAATTTGTGCTAATCAGCTCTCACCTGTTATTTGGGCTTTTGTTGCTGTTGTTGAGCTAAGGGGAAGTCTGCTCTTTTGTTGATAAACTGCTTTATCCCCAATAATCCTCCCTCATTATTTCACCATCCCAGCAGGGCTATCAATAGTTTTATTGCAAATTTTATACCCTTAAAACATTCCAGAATTAGTAACAGTCGTAACTCAAATCCTACAATTTGGTAAATAAGAGAGAAAACAGGGGAATGGTCCTCACATCCAGATAATTCATGTTGCTTATAGAGATTTTCAAAACATATTTTATGGGTATTTTCCTAGTTTCCCACAGGAATTGGAAAGCCAGTTAATTTAAATAAATAATAAAATTAAATAATAAAATTAAAAGGTGCCCCAAAAGCAATAGTGAGTAATGATGTTAATACAACCTTCATGATGCCAAATGATATAAACAGTAATTTATATCATTCCACCAATGGTTTAGGGTTACTATGAAGGTACTATAAACCCTCAATGGGGAAAGGAACTGAGCTTTTCACAAAGCCAAATGTCTTTTTCATACCAATAGGAAATGCACTTCATTTCACCTGGAAAAAGAATGCTCCCATTTGTTTGCCAGAAATCCAGGAATCTCAAATTAGGATGCTTGAGGTCACTCATTAGGGAAGAAGAGAAGAAGACATGATAAAGGTACCAAACCTATTTTTGCATAATATATTTCTCACTCCCCCCCTCCCTCCCTCTCTCCCTCTCCCTCCCTCCCTCTCTTCTTCTCCCTCTCTCTCTCTGTCTGTGTCTGGGTATTCCTTTTGTCTTTCACCCATGTGTTTAAAAACAGTTTAGAAAAGCAATGGCTCCGCTTAGAGGCAATGAAAAGGAATAACCAGAGGCTTTTTGTTGTTTTATTCAGTTTTGCTAAACTGAAGGGAGCCTTTTATTGGTAGGATTCACATAGCAGCTAAGAGAGAGGACAGGAGAGATGGTCTTGATAAGAAGGGAAACCCAACGGGAAACAAATAAGTTATGCATGTGATAGACCAGCGTTTTTCAAACTTAGCATCTTTCAGATCTTTAGATTTCACCTACCAGGATTCCCCAGCCAGTACGGGAGGAGTTTGCTACCTGGGTATTTTGACCAGGGTGGGAAGATGCTCTAGAGCAGGGGTCTCCAAACTTGGCAACTTTAAGACTTACGGACTTCAATTCCCAGATTTGCCAAGTTTGGAGATCCCTGCTCTAGACAGAAGACCATCCCTCGTTAAAGACTTTTAGATACTAGCCAGCACCTTAAATTATATTGGCAAACAATGTGGCATCCACAATATTAGTAGCTGTGCTAAAGTGGTTCTCATCCACTAACATGATAGCCAGAGATGGGTTTCAGCAGGTTCTGACCAGTTCTGGAGAACTGGTAGCGGAAATTTTGAGTAATTCGGAGAACTGGTAAATACCACCTCTGGCTGGCCCCGCCCCCATCTATTCTCTGCCTCCCGAGCCCCAGCTGATTGAGAGGAAATAGGGATTTTGCAGTCATCTTCCACTGGATTGGGGAGGGAATTTATTTATTTATTTATTGCGATTTATATGCCGCCTTTCTCCCTAGGGACTCAAGGCGGCTTACAAAATGACAACTTCAATACAAATCACAATACAATACCAAATTAAAATCAGTAACCCAATTAAAAAACGATTTAAAATTATACCAGTGTACCCCCAAACGAATCAGTTTAATTGGCGGAAGAGCCACGTCTTCAGCTCGCAACGGAAGGAAAGAAGGTCGGGGGCTGTCCTGAGCTCAGTGGGCAATCCATTCCAGAGGGTCGGGGCTCCCACAGAGAACGCCCTCCCCCTGGGGGTCGTCAGCTGACATTGTTTGGCCGACGGCACCCTGAGGAGGCCGACTCTGTGAGAGCGCACAGGACGATGGGAGAATGGCTGGAGATGGTCCTGCAAGTACCCCGGGCCTAAGCCTTGAAGAGCTTTATAGGTGAGCACCAGCACCTTGAAACGTATCCGGAGTGCTACCGGTAGCCAGTGCAGCTCACACAGGAGAGGTGTTACACGGGAGTATCTAGATGCCCCCATAACTACCCGCGCGGCTGCATTTTGGACTAGCTGAAGCCTCCGGACACATCCCAAGGGCAGCCCCATGTAGAGGGTGTTACAGTAGTCCAACCTAGAGGTAACAAGGGCGTGAGTGACCGTGGCGAGGGCATCCTGGTCTAGGAACGGGCGCAACTGGCGCACAAGATGGACCTGTGCGAAGGCCCCCCTGGTTACGGCCGTCAGATGGTCATCTAAAGACAGCCGAGAATCCAGGAGGACACCCAATGAAGATTTTACGGTATCCTTCCCCTGCCACGCCCACCAAGCCATGCCACGCCCACCAAGCCATGCCACACCCACCAAGTCACACCCACAGAACTGGTAGTAAAAAATTTTGAAACCCACCACTGATGCTAGCCATTCGCCCTCCCCTTTTTTTGTGTGTGCACCAGCTGAAGTTTCAAAATAGTCTTCAGGGGCAGCTCCACGTGGAAATCTTTGCAGTACTGCAATAATGTCAAGAAGGAATGAGGGTGTAAGGTCCTCTTGCTAAAACCTTCCATTCCATATATTAAGTTATACTCTGATCCATTTGTACAATGTAAACATAAACCAAATACTGTATTATGCCCAGTTTGGATCTTTGTCAACCAACCCTCCATTTATGTTTGAAAATGTTGGCTGCTGTGCAGTTTGATCTTCTCTTCAGATCATTGGCAGTAGGAGAAGGAAGAGGAGGAGGAGGAGGAGGAGGAGGAGGGGGGGGGGAAGAGGAGGAGGCTTTTTGCTCTACCATCCAACCATAGTACCTTTCCTTCCCAGACCACTTTTTCAGCCTTGTAACAGCAAGTCAGAGGACACTTGTTCTTCTCCAGCCCTTCACCTCACTTTAGAAAAATTAAAGAACCATCCTTTTCCAGATATTCATTTCTCCCAACAAAGATCCCATAGAATCTCCCATGAGCAAAGAAGTAATGAGACACACAGGCAGTCATCTACTGAAAATTTTAATGAAACAAATAAGTTAATAAGTTAATAAAGTGAGGTAACTATGCATTGTCTCAGAAACAAAATTTATTAGGAAAACTACCCCGAGGCCCACCTTATTGTCTTTGGCTGGTCAAAGCCATCCCCTGCTCCCTTCCTCCCCCTCTTGCCCTTCACCATGCAGCCCCTCCCCTATTTCTGGAGATGACCATCCTGGATGAAGACTTGGGTGTGCTCTCCAACGAGGGTGTATTCAGTGCATTGAGAGGAGAAGAGTCATAGTCTGATGGGGGAGAAGCTGGGAACAGCTCTCGCCATTTCTTCAAGACACATGCATGGACATGCAAAGTGAAGATGCAGTTGGGCAAGTGGGGGACTTTGGACATGCAGCCTAAAGGAGATGTGAAATGAAAGCTGGGCGTGTTCTATGGAACAACTCAACCACAATGGTGTTGGCAGAGTTAGCTCTGAGAAGATGGGAAAGTCTTCCAGATTTAATTCTGTTCTCTCCCAGTAAGTTAGCATTCTCCCACCAGATGCCTTCCAGATACGTTCTATCACCATTCCCATAATGCCCACTAGCTGCCATGCGAGCTATAGCTCAATACAATTGGAAAGCCAGTATCTATGCAGCAATCATAAAAGTGAGAATGACAAATGAAGACATTCAATAGAAAAACAGGACTTCTGTTGGTTCTCTTGTTTAAAGTTAACAAGACAACCCACCAAGGAGCAGATTTTGGTAGCTAAGCAGTGATCCAAGCAAAAGGACTGGAAGGAAGGGGCTGTTTGGACTCAGAACATGTTCTGGGATGGGTCTGTGGTTCAAAAAAATCCAAGTGAATGACCATTGGGAAGAAAACCGTAACCACAATCTGTGCCAGGAGCATGAGTAGAGACTCAACAAAGAAGTCACAGACAATCCTGGCTGATGATCTATTCATACATTGCATTGTATTCAACATAAACCTAAGAATGTTCTGTTTTTCAAATGCTGGGCTCCTAAACACTGAATGTGCCAAGATGGTCTGCTTGTGTTATTGATCTTTCCCAAGTAAAGCACACTCAAGACCAAAGTCCCCCATGAAAGCTGCAGAAGTTAAAACTTAGGCAGATGGGCAAGGAGGAAGGTGAGATCTGAAGGGCATCATCAGGTGGAATAATGGAATAATTGGAACAATGGTGCTTCATATCCTAAAACGGTATTCCTCAATCCTAGCCACTTTAAGATGTCTGGACTTCAACTCCCAGAATTCCCCAGATGAATTCTGGGAGTTGAAGTCTAGACATCTTAAAGTGGCTAAGGTTGAGGAACATTGTCTTAGAAAGACTGCAAGGGAGAATGCCTCCAGAAAAACCCTGGATGGAAATTGTAATCCAGGGATCTTCTACTAGTAATAGAAAGGATGTGCTCACAGCTGGTAGGAAATTTGAGTCTAAAGTAATGATCCCCCAACGTGTGGACCCCAGATATGTTAAATTTCAAAAGCCCAAGCAGTCATATTAGAAACATCATCCAACCCAACTGGAGGACCTCAGCTTGGGGAGGGCTACTCAAAAGCTACACCAGAGCACTGATAATTCTACAAGTGTATAGTACCTGAGCCAAGCTCTACCTTAATTCACTGTTGTTGAATGAATGGGAAACTCACACACACATACAAATACACACACGCAATTCCCTGGGAGAGAGCAATACTCAACTCTCCCTCCAGAGACAGCAAGCTGATGAAATTCCCCCTGAGAACACCAGGACCCATGATTCTACTCTTGGCTACCTGAATTGAGTTTCCTTCAAGGGTGCACATAGAAACCCCCAAATCCCTGCTTACTTCCCAGACAGAGAAGGCACCTTAACCACTGCTAAAGATTGGTTTCAGGTTGCATATTCAAGACAGTTGCATATAGCGGTGCCCATCTCCCCCTAAACATGTTTCCATTACGTGGCAAGTTCCACTGTGTGCTCATGAACCCGGGGGGTGGGGCATAAAGTGATGCCTGCTACCTGGTGGAACGGGGAGCTAAAAGAGAAGTAGAAAGGTGCTTGAAGGCTGCCAAGAGTAGGGTTAGGCATTGCCAGTCATTAATTGCTTCTAAATGCAAAGACAAGAAACCACATTCAGTCAAGTTGCAACGTCCCTTGTCGAGCACGGCTGAAGAAAAGAGTAACCTAGCTTTTGCATAGCTGAATAAAAAGACATCGTCAACCTGGGTTGCCCAGTAAAGTCAACGTCTAGAGTCGGTGGTTGTCATGTCATGGCTGTCACCATTTGCATGGTTTTCCTTGATGGGTTGGCCATCACAATGACTCAAGAGTCCAAAGTGGCCATTTCATCTTGACTGCTCTTTGTCAAAAGAGAATTGATTTCCTCGGTAGCCTAGAGGCACCTGAAAACTCTGGAGTTAACTGGGAACCATGGCAGATGTCTACAGGAGGCTGAGAGGTGAAAGACAGATTCCTCTGCCTATTACTTCAGGCTAACAAGGCTTGCCTCCCAACAGAGAAAGCTGCTGACTGAGTTTTACATTCTATCACGACCACTGGGGGAAGCCCAGAAACACTGGCGAAGTTACGGCTGACAGCTGATGGGTGCTGGGACCACCCTGCTGCTTCAGAGGCCTAACAATTTGTCTACATTTGCTCTAAATGCTCTGGTGCTAGTGGCTTTGCCCCCAATTGGAAGACTTCAAGTAAAGTTGAGGTGATCGTTCTGGTGCAAAGGCAGACGAATCTGATGGGGAAACACCAACAAGGTGAGGCTGGAGAAGATTTCGGCTCAGTCGAGCACGGTCCATAAGAGTAGTCAGGAATTGTCTCCCAAGTTCTCCTTTGAACGAAAGACTCCCTCCCAGCCTCTCCTCCCCGCATGTAGCTGGTGTGTGGCTGTTACACAGCTAGTCTGGAGAGGCCATGTTAGTCAATGTTGGTGCTAGCCGATCGGGAGATGTTCAAGGTCTGAGCTGAGACAGAGATGTCTTCATGGTCCACGGGACTATGATAGTCAGAGGTGATGTCCGGTTCCCCACTGCGAACTGGTATAGCAGTCAAGCTAATGGAGTTGATGGAACCCTTCCGTAGGCACTGGGAGTAAACGCCTAGCAACAAGTCCAGCTTGTGCTCAATAGACTCAACCTGGAGAGAGAGAGGGAGGGAGGAGGGGAGAGGGGGAGGGAGGAAAGGAAGGAAGGAAGGAGGGGGAGAGAGCAAGAGGGAGGGAAGGAGAGAGGCAGTGGGAGGGAGGGAGGGAGAGAGGGAGGGAGAATGGGAGGGGAGGGAGGGAGAAGGAGAGAGAGAGAGAGAGAAAGAGAAAGATGAAAAACTCCCCAAGCTCTAAAACAGAGGTCTTGGTAGCTTGGTAGCTTTAAGATTTATGGACTTCAACTCCCAGAATTCTCTAGTCAGCTGGCTGGAGAATTCTGGGAGTTGAAGTCCACAAGTCTTAAAGCTGCCAAGTTTGGGGACCCCCTGCTCTAAAACATGGATCTAAGTTATGAGGTTGGACATTTATTCTTCAGAATCAGCAGCTATAAAATGAAGGGAATTCAGGTGCATAAACAGGGAGTGGGGGATGTCCAAGAATTTGATAAGGCAATGGTGAAAAAGGAGCAAAGCTTCAGCATTCATATAGGTAGGTCTGAGATTTTTTAGATTTGGGGCAGAAAATCTTTAATTTTGTTTTTAACTGTGCAAATCCTATTCTTCCATTTTCACTACAGGCCGAGTGCCTTATTCCAGGAAAAAATACCCCAAAGCATCATCAAACTTGGGCTGTAACCTGTGTAGGGCAACCACAAGTTGGGCCCAGAATTTTGGGGCAGTCATTAAGCAAGTCACCATGTGACCAGACTCAATTTTATGACTGTTTTAACAATGATTGCAAAGTGAGTCGCTCTGGTCATTAAGCAGTCCATGTGGTCATTAAGAGAACACAGCATATTCAACGGGCTGCCAGAAAACAGCAAAAAAAGTTGCAAATTGCATGTTTGGCAGAATTAAAGGTCATGTGGATGCAAGGGGCAGCACAACATTTAAAATGATCAGAACTGCCTTCCAGACCAGGGGTCTCCAACCTTGGCAACTTTAAGACTTGTGGACTTCAACTCCCAGAATTCTGGGAGTTGAAAAGCTCAATAAATAGCATACCGGTGGGTGTCACCCATTGGTGGTTGTGATGCATATTTTGAGTGACAGGGAGCCGCAGCAGAGGGGTGAAAGAGCTACATGCGGCTCCAGAGCCACAGGTTGCTGACCCCTGTGTTGGGCAAACCCATAAAAAGAATTAATTCAGCAATCAGGTTGAGCATATTAGAGTCATACAGCCTCTTCTTTCCTAAGAAGAGGATGACGAGGATCAATTCCTGGCTTGTGAACCAAGATCTAAGAAGCCTCCAGTGGAAGCTACAGTGACGTCACATATGACATGAAATCTTGATGCACACAATGCAAGTTACCCATTCATGCCATCTGCATGAAAATGTCATCATCCCCTTGAGGTCACTTGTGGCTACCTCCACAGATGCTCATGATGCCTTAAGGGGTTGAACTAGAATTGAAGAGGTCCAAGTTCAAGTCCATCCTTAGCTATGGAATCACCCCACTTTCAGACCAACTCATTTTTAAAGGGAAAAATGAAGGAATGCATGTTGCGAATACCATCAAGACAGTGGTGGGTTTCAAATTTTTTTACTACCGGTTCTGTGGGCGTGGTTTGGTGGGTGTGGCAGGGGAAGGATACTGTAAAATCTCCATTCTGTCCCCAATCCACGGGAAGGTTACTGCAAAATCCCCATTTCCTTCTGATCACCTGGGACTCGGGAGGCGGAGACTAGATGGGGGCGGGGCCAGTCAGAATTTTTACTATCGGTTCTTGGAACTACTCAAAATTTCCGCTACCGGTCCTCTAGAACTGGTCAGAACCTACTGAAACCCACCTCTGCAGCAAGAGCTCTTAGACAAAAGGGGGATGGAAATCTAATTATCCAAGAAATGAAATTTAAGATCCAAGCAGTGGCCTGATCACATCATGTATAAGGAGCCCACCTCCCTTTACCCATGTACCTCCCAGGCCCAGCCTTACCTGCTTTTCCACTTTTAGTACTCGGCCCATCATGCTGAGATCATCCACCAGATCGACCTCCAATGGTGCTTTTTCCCCTTTCTCCCGTGTCTTCTTATCCATGGTGAGACCTCCCCGGCCCACAATCTGATCCACACTGGAAAGAGTGAAGGGAGAGATGTGGGGGAGATGATATCAGGTGAAACAAAATGAGGCTATCTGGGTCACTTGGGAAACTAGATCAAGACAAGGACAGTGGTGAAATCCATTTTTTTTACTACCAGTTCTGTGGGCATGGCTTGGTGGGTGTGGTTTGGCTTGGTGGGTGTGGCTTGGTGGGCGTGGCAGGTGAAGGATACTGCAAAATCCCCATTCCCTCCCCACTCCTGGGGGAAGGATATTGCAAAATCCACATTCCCTCCCCACTCTTGGGAAAAGAATATTGCAAAATCCTCATTCCCTCCCCACTCCTGGGGGAAGGATATTGCAAAATCTCCATTCCCACCCCACTCTGGGACTAGCCAGAGGTGGTATTTGCTGGTTCTCCAATTTCCGCTACCGGTTCTCCAAACTACTCAAAATTTTCACTACCGGTTCTCCGAATTACTCAAAATTTCTGCTACCGGTTCTCCAGAACCTGTCAGAACCTGCTGGATTTTGCCCCTGGGCAAGAACATTAGGTCCACCTCTGAGAATTCCACCTGAAAGGGCTTTTTCTGTCTAAAAGTGATTCTGTCACTTTCTAATATACTCCAGAACTGTGTATCCCCAACATCTCTGCATAAAAATAATTGCAACAGTTCTCCCAAAACCTAAGTCTTTAATACCGTGTTTCCCCAAAAATAAGACCTGTCTTATATTTTTTGAACCCTGAAATAAGTGCTTGGCCTTATTGCCATGCGCTCAAAGGCCCAATTGGGCTTATTATCAGGGGCTGTCTTATTTTGGGGAAAACAGGGTAGCAGAAGGTGGGGAAGGACCAACTGCTTTTGCTTTTCTGCCCAAGTGGCTGTGCAGATGTTGACCATCTTTTTATATTTGTCACTGGGATTCTCTCACAGTCTCTTGTCTGCAGCTGCATCATAAGCCTATGAAAGAAACTCAACCAATCTGTAGTTGCTTCTGACCCTGCTCCCCAGTTGTAGTCTTGCCACCAGCACCATCACTAGTTTTGGCTTTTCAAGTTGCTGGGAAAAATAACCCTGGGCACCACTGAGCACCAGTATTTCTCCTCACCGTGTCTGGAGACTTTTGATTCTGCCAAGCATGTCCAGGTGGCCAGCTGAGTATTGCTCAATCACATCCTTAACATCATATGGTCTCAGGGTCTCCTTGAACTTTCTTTTGGCTACTAGGAATTTAAGAATTCTGCAAGAAAACATGCTTATTTTTAAAAAAATTAAAATGCAAGGCACCAAAACCTGGAGGAGAGATCTAGGTAACCTTTTACTGGTCTGGGTAACCTTGCATGGCATATTCCCATTTAGTACCGGTAAGTGCTTTTCAGAACTGCTGGTGGGGAGGGAACTCCTTAACCACAGATGCCAAAAATGCAACCTGAAAGCAGGAGATGCTGTGGCCCAATCTTCTTCAACCCAGTGTCCCCAGATTTAATCAGATTTTAAGCCTATAGAACAAATAGACTTTCATATTTAGGAGTTTCAGGTCAACCACTTCAACTGAAGATCAACAAAGACCACAGCAAATTCTAAAACATTAACTAAATGACTCAGGTATAATCACCCAACCACTCTGCTCTCCATTTTAAAGGACCAGAAGGCAAAAATTGCATCAGTGTCAAAGAGTGTAGAATTGTTGAGCCTACCAAAGGCTTTCCTACTTGAACAAAATCAAGCACAATTTTTAAGATCTATTCTGGGGCTGGCCTGAATACAGTGGCAGTAGTAGTCAGAGCCAAAACAATTACCCCCACTCCATCTATCCTAAGAGTAATTCAAGTATTTTGTTATTGCTGGAGCAATCTCCCAATGGAACTTGATAGACTACCAAAAATGCCTTGAAGGACAAATGGACACACTTCAACCCATCTCATGGATCAATCAACTTCAAGGAGCAAAAGAGAGATCATCACATCTTCTAATTGTGAATTTCACTGTCATTCCTTTCTTACTGCTAATGTACAACTGGAATCTCTCCCTTAGTTTCAGGGATTTCTCCAGGGCAAGTCTGCCTAAAGTATATATTCAGCATGAGACCCTTTCCCTTCTTCCTTTAAAGCCAACTCTAATTGGCTTTAATGTCAATTTCTTTAATCTCAATTTCTCTTGAGAGCAACATCTAGGCTACAAAAAGGCTATTCTATTTGGCTGTGCAATCCCAAATGCTGAAACTTTGATTTGAGAGGACCAGATGCTTCAAAGCAAAGGAAGGATTTCTCCAGAGGCCACCTTGTGAACCCAAACCTGGAGTTCTTAGCTTTGATTCCAGCTTTACAGAACTCACCTGACTGCTCGGATCAAGGTCTTTACAGTAGGCATGATGTCTTCAAAAGTCAAGTCACATTGATGGGTCTTCTCCTCACTACTTTCCTCTGTAGGACCATCAGCTGTGGATGGAAACATGACTTGGTGGGAGGACTAGCCTCTAGGTCAGGGTTTCCCAACTTTAGTCATTTCAAGATATGTGGACTTCAGCTCCCAGATTTCTTCAGCCACTGTGTTGGCTTTGAAATTCTGAGACTTGGATTCCAAACATCTTAAAAGTTGCTGAGGTTGGAATGCACTGTCCTAGGGGAAATGTGTGGAATATAAACATAAGAAACTATTTAATAAAATATACCAAATAGTAAAACTACCACTCCCTTGGATTGCAAGGCGATCAAACCGGTCAGTCCTAGAGGAGATCAACCCTGACTGACTGCTCTTTAGAAGGCCAGATCCTGAAGAGGAAACTCAAGTACTTTGGCCACCTAATGAGAAGGAAGGACTCACTGGAGAAGAGCCTAATGCTGGGAAAGATTGAGGGCAAAAGAAGAAGGGTACGACAGAGAAGGAGATGGCTGGATGGAGTCACTGAAGCAGTCGGCGTGAGCTTAAATGGACTCTAAGGGATGGTAGAGGACAGGAAGGCCTGGAGGAACATTGTCCATGGGGTCGCAGACACGACTTCGCAACTAACAACAATAACAAAAACTACCACATTTCGAACTCTTCAGAAACATAAGAAGAGATGGAATAAACACAAATAATTCTTAGCAAGCTTGGTTGATTTCCTCTTAAAATCAACTATTATGAATTAAAACCATATGAAAATTTCCCAACCTCCAGCTTTGGGTGCTTCCAAAATTTACCATCCACTGGTGTCCGAGGCTTCAGTCTCAATGAGGTCCGGAACTTGGTCCTGTCATTGAAGCTCCAGCTCTTCTGTACCTTGCTGGGGCTGATGCCTTCGTTGACGTTCTCTGTACTGGGGGAGCGATGGAGTGGAGGCACCAGATGCTGCTTCCCCCGGCTACCTTGCTTCTGAGAATTGCTCACTCGGATGCGGTCTTTGAGTCCCATTTTATTGCTGGAAAGGGTTTAGAGTGGAAGTTAACTGAGGAACGTGTGAACTGGGGAGGATGCAAAGCCACAGCTGAAGGGGGCCCTAGACTCAAATCTGCTGCACTCCTCTGCTTACCCTTTGAACAGGTTACAGTTTTGATCACAGCAGGCTCATTGGCCCTGAAATCCTATACAGCTCAGATAGTCCTCAACTTACAACTGTAACTGAGCCCAGAATTCAATTATAAGCCATACTGGTTGTTAAAAGGGTCACCACACGACTGTGCCTGATTTTATGACTTTCTGAGGCAGTTGTTAAGTGAATCATGCCTGTTATTAAATGAGCACCATAGTCACGAATACTAATAGCAATAGCACTTAAGACTTATATTCCTCTCCACAGCCCTCTCTAAGCGGTTTACAGAATCAGCATATTGCCCCCAACATTCTGGGTCCTCATTTTACTGACCTTGGAAAGATGGAAGTCTGAGTCAACCTTGAGTCATTCAGAATCGAACTCCTGGAGTGAGCAGTGAGTTAGCCTGCAGTACTGCATTCTAACCACTAAGAGATCTATTGTGTACAATGAGCGTTTTTTGCTGGAAATTTGAAGTAAATGCCTATTTCCAGCAAAAAAACAAAAAAACCCCCATCATAAATCACAGTCATATGACTGTGGGATCCTGCAAATGAGGATACCAAGTGTCCAAAATCAACCACATGACTGCAGTGGGGAGGGTCTTATTGAGACTTTATATCTAGGTTGTAAGTAGCTCCATGGGGGTCTGTCATAACTTTGAATGGTCGTAATTTGAGGTCTTTATGTAGAAACCCCTAAACATGGATGAGGATCAGAAGGAAAGTTTGGTCCCCAAATATAAACACTTGGAATAAAATAACTAAGTATTTTAGCAGATCAGCATTCAAACCTGAAATAATACTTTAGTCAATGAGAACTTCTATCCTGCACTATTTTTTTTTCTGTATACACAGTAATACTATAGTATGTCTAAGCTGCCTCCTTATGTTTGCTTCTGTTTCGCTGTGCAGTGACAGTCTGCCATGAACTCTCAGGAGGGTTGACAGGACAGGCAATGTTTTGGGGAAAATGAAAGTGACTTCTGTATCTCCCTGAGATGCTGCTTCAAAGTCAACCAACTGGGAAAGGAAAGGAGCTGCATACTAACCTACACTTGAAGTGACTGTTCTGAAAACATCTTGCTTGAACCTGATTGGTCATTGGCAAGGGGGGGCGGTCAGCAATGGGAGGCAGTTAAGTGAGGGAAAGGTTGAATTTAGGGGGTTTGGTGCATGATTCTCAGTTCTGGCTATGCATTACTGCTGTACACTTAAAACTATACTTTTGTCAACAAATGGAGCTAAGGATCATTTCCACTTAGATAAGTGTTTCTCAACCTTGGTAGCTTGAAGATGGGTGGACTTCAACTCCCAGAAACCCCCAGCCAGCGCTGGGGGTTGAAGTCCGCCCATCTTCAAGTCCGCCCATCTTCAAGCTACCAAGGCTGAGAAACACTGACTTAGATATTTAAGTAGTGGCAGGACTGAGAGTGTGTCAACTTGATCCTCTTGTAGGAACCTTGGTTTTGCTTTTCTGGAGATGTGCCCAACGATTCCCCTTCCGATTGAGGGGCCAAGGATTGTTAACTAACATATATCTCTCCCACTACCACCAACTTGTCTTTGCAGGTAGAAAACAAGCATATAAGGAAGGTAAGGTTTCCCCTGTAGCACTAGTTTTCTGTAAAAGATTAAATAAAAAGTCTCAATAAAATATTTTTAAAAATATTTAAAAAAAAAAAAAAAAGTCTCCATGCAAATCCACACCAACTTCTCTGCAGCACCCACCTCATTGTAGAATTTATGACTTTGGTGCAGTGCCTTCATTATCCATTTGTAGGGACTACAGGTTGGACCACAAGTCAAGCAGCTGATTTCAGTTAGAGAAAGGATAGAGGAAAAGGGCCCAAACTAGCTCATGCCACAACTCCATTCATAGTCCGGAGCCCTTTCCAAAATATTTGCAATACAGATTGAAAGGAAACAAGCAAACAAATCAAACATGAAACGTTAGAACAATTAAAAGATGAAGAGACTGAAAGACCCAACAAGACCAGGGATGCCTGCAGAGGAGATGTTTGGAAGCTCAGCAAGCTCAACACAAGATAAGCTGGCTGAGAGCTTTATTTAAGATAATGTTTTGGCCAATAAACCAAGAACATCTTCCTTGATAGCAAGGGAAGGCCTACAGCCCAAGCAAATGTGGCTGTGGAAGGAAGAAGCCATTTTCCCCAGATAACACTTCTCCTTCCTTCCTAACAAGATATTTGACCCAACAGAAGAGAATACAGTGTAGCTCAGGATTGAACTGTGGAGTCCTTGATGCTCTCTGAGCTTGGTTGTTTCCTTGCAAACATTTCATTACCTGACTTAGGTAACCTCATCAGTGCTAGCTTTCTTTTGCTAGAAGAGACAGGGGTTTGCTCTCTACCCCGTTTCCCTGAAAATAAGACATCCCCTGATAATAAGCCTAATTGGGCTTTTGAGCCCATGTGCTAAAATAAGCCCTCCCCCCCGAAAATAAGCCCTCCCCGAAAATATTTAAACGCAGAGCTGGAAATCAGGTAAGACGGCAAGAGGAGCCCCATCTTGCTCCATGAGCCCCAAAATAATAAGACCTCCCCGAAAATAAGGCCAAGCGCTTATTTCGGGGTTCAAAAAATATAAGACAGGGTCTTATTTTGGGGAAAACATTTATTTATTGGTTTGATTTATATGCCGCCCTTCTCCGGAGACTCAGGGCAGCTTACAATGCGTTAAGCAATAGCCTTCATACTTTTGTATATACCTGCTTAGTGGGGCTTTTGCCCCCCCCCCCAAGCAGTGTTCTTTTTTATACAAAGTCAGCTTATTGCCCCCACAATCCGGGTCCTCATTTTACCTACCTCGGAAGGATGGAAGGCTGAGTCAACCTTGAGCCTGGTGAGATTCGAACTCGCAGTAATTGCAGGCAGCTGGCAGCTAAGTGCTACTTAACAGCACTTTAGTCCGCTGCACCACCAAGGCTCTTCCAAGGCTATATACAAGTGACTTGTCCCTCCTAGGTTATGATCTTATTTAGTTGGGTAATGAAATGTCTGTAGGAAAACAACCAAGCTCAGAGAGCGCCAAGGATCCTATGCTTGTCCCAATTTGCCTATTTGTTCAAAGTATCGGGGAGGATTCAGATGGAGATGGGTCTGTGGGGGACAAGAGCTAAAAAAAAAAAATCTAGATGGCAGCTACAACCATGTGATTGAAGCCCTGTGTCCTTTTTACATGCACATCACTTGCAACTATTTGTTGTGGCCTCGCCCTCTGAGCCTGTCCCATCGGAGGAAGAAAGCTCCGAGCATGAGGAAGAGGAGTCAGACAGGCCTCTCTCTCCAGGCCCCTCCCCTCTGGCATTGTCTCAGGTGCCGGCCGAGGGAGAGGAGATCAGTAGGGAGACAGCTGGCTCGGATCAGAGTGACAAAGAAACATCATTCCTGGACGCACGCCTCCGAAGGCATGATAAACGTTTGCAGCAGTTTAGGAGGCATGCTAGGGACTAGAACTGAGTCACTGGACCACACCCCAGAGACTATATAATAGAGGGTGGTGGTCAGTGATCCTTGTGACGAACAAAAGTAAACCTTGGATAGTCACTAAAGCCTCGTTCGGAACTGCGGAGAGAAATATTGTTTCTGCTTGGACTTTTTGCACGTTAAGTACCTTATCTTTCTGTTTGTGAAAATAAAGGCATTTGGCAGACGGTGTGTCTATCGCTGCCAAGTGGGAGATAAGACCTGGGTGCGTTCCAAAGTGTTTCCTTAACCCTCGGCTGGCTGCGTTTGTGTGTGTGTGGGTACGGGGACAGATCACTATTAGGTAGATAAATATTTTGTTTCACACAAGTGCAAAGGGGATTGTGGGTAGTGGTGGTGGTGAAAAATCTCAAGCCACATCCTGCCCAGGGGTGAAATCCAGCAGGTTCTGACAGATTCTGGAGAACAGGTAGCGGAAATTTTGAGTAGTTCAGAGAACCGGCAAATACCACCTCTGTCTGGCCCCAGAGTGGGGTGGGATTGGGGAGGGAATGGAGATTTTGCAATATCCTTTCCCCCGGAGTGGGGAGAGAATGGGGATTTTGCAATATCCTTCCCCCAGGAGTGGGGTGGGAATGGAGATTTTGCAGTATCCTTCCCCTGGATTGGGGAGAGAATGGAGATTTTGCAATATTCTTCCCCCAGGAGTGGGGAGGGAATGGGGATTTTGCAATATTCTTCCCCCCGGAGTGGGGAGGGAATGGGGATTTTGCAATATCCTTTCCCCGGAATGGGGATTTTGCAACATCCTTCCCCCGGAGTGGGGTGGGAATGGAGATTTTGCAATATCCTTCCCCTGTCATGCCCACCAAACCACGCCCACCAAGCCGCACCCACAGAACCGGTAGTAAAAATATTTGAATTTCACCACCGGTCCTGCCCCTTTCTGAAATGTGTTGCATGTGCAATGAATGTAAAAAAAAAAGGAGGGGCTTCAATCACAGCATTGCAGTTATATCCTTCCAGAGGAATCTAACCCCAGTTAACCCTAATCAAAACTAACATATGTTTCAGTTACTAACTTTAGCTAACTCCACCTGAGGTAGTTTGCACTCTCAAGAACCATGGAAACGTTTGCGCTAGCAGAACGTTCAGCTTTATGAATTTGTTCAACTAACCAAACCATTTGGGTTCATACCACAACCCTAAGTCACTGGAAAAATTAACCAAGTTAAACCTAATCAATTGTAGCATTTTTAGTAGCCACAGCCAAATAGATGAAATAGGACAGCTTTATGATATGCCATCTCAGACGGTGTCTTTTTGGACGAGGGATCCAGAACCAAAATGCAAAACACAAATTGCTTCTCCTTTTCAAGGATGTTTGGTCCCTCAGTTCTGCTCAGAACCAAAGAGAGAACTCCACAGATCCAAATGGCAC